ATGGGGCAGGACTGAATCTATTAAGCTACCTCTTTCTGCAGGTGGGCTCTCCCAACCAGAGGGCCCCAAATAGCCCATCAGCCATGCCTTATTTCCAACCTCAAGTTCTTTGGTTCTGACACCGGACCATGAGCAGACATCCAGCTGTTGAGTAGAGCGTTCGGTTGGCCAACGGAAGCTTCAACATCTGGATGTACAATTGCGGACCTGCGCCTCTTCCGCCGAGCCCTGAAAACTCATCTGTTCCATGCGGCCGGCCTGGCGTAGTTTTGATTGGGTTTTTGTTAGGGGTTTTATATTTTAGAGCAGGCTTTTATGTAATATTTATTGTGATTTTTATTATTGCCTGTTCACCGCCCTGAGTCCCGTAAGGGAGATAGGGCGGTATATAAATTTAAATAAATAAATGAATGAATGAATGAATGAATGAATGAATGAATGAATGAATGAATGAATGTTCTACCTGAGACCGGAGCCCAAAAGGTTGAGGATGGGAAACACCTTGTGATTCGGGGCCGGGCAAGAATAAATCGGAGGAATAAGCATGAGTTAGCAGGTTCTGTTCCCGAGACTTGCAGACCCGGTCTCTCTGCGCAGGGGAGGAAGGATGCAAATTTGAAAAGGTGTGGAAACGCCAGCACCAAGTGTGAACGCTCAAGCCTAAGCTAGGCAGGGGTTTTAGAAGGGGGTTTCATCGCCAGGAAGCACAAGATCAAACAGGTACAGGCTGTTAGCCTAGGGCTTTGCGCAGCTGAATATAAATTTGCTACCTGCCCCCCCCTCCCAAAAAAAAAGATCTGAGCAAGATCTTGTAAGGTAGCTCACTGTCTGCTACTTCCAAGATTGCAGGTCTGGGTTTTTAGGTATCCCTTACCTGGCTTCCCTTCCGCTCGTCTCTCCCCCCCACCCACCCACCCTCAACCTTCAAAATTTTAAAAATAAAGAACAGCTAAATCACCTCTGCTTCATTTGCAATGTAAATCGCAAACTAGTCTATGCCAGCTTAGCTGATTACATGATCAAGAGAATGGTGCATCTGTTATTAGCTGCACTCCACACACAGATACACACACACACACACACACACTTGTAGAATCCTATATGGGTTGTGTAGGACGACTTCAGAATGGTTTGTATGGAAGTTTTTCATTTCAGCCGGCCCTGCCCTTACGGCTGAACGGCAGCTCCCAGCATCCCTCACCTCCTGGCCTCCTGCCTTTAGGGGTTGCTGGGAATTGTACAATTGTTCATTTGTGTGTGTGTGTGTGTGTGTGTGTGTAGAGATCTGGGAGGTTGGGCAAACTCTGCCCTCCTCCCTTCCTCCTTTGAAAATCAGACTTATGAGTTCATTACATTTATTCCCTTCCTTCCTCGTGGATTCGTCTGGTCTCCGGGCAAAAGGGCCAGATTTTTGAAGACAGGCTTTGTTGTCAAGGCAATCTATGTTACAAGGCTGAGCCTTATTACTATATGAACCCAGGTGATGGATTCACACGTTACGTGGAATTGTAAACTAGCTCACCCGGAGAGTCACCTTCTACCAATTCCACCCCCCCAAAATAGCCAAGTGTAACATTTGTAAAATAAAAAATAAAAAATAAATAAAGGCAGGATACAAATAAAGAAACCAATATAAATATCAAGTTGTGTGAACTGGATCTGAGGCTGAATTCGTTGAGGTCAACACCTATTCTTGGACATCCGTGTCCCGTTTTGTCGATAAAGTGCCAGTGTTGCCTAGACTGTCCTACTTTTCTTCCTATGGACTAGAAACCTGAGCCTGGTTTTTTATCCTTCAGCCCGTGCAGAGCATAACTCTCTTTTTTCCTTTCCACCCACAGTTTGTCGAGGGATGCTGTGTGGCTTCGGTGCGGCCTGCGAAAAGAACCCCACGGACCCTTCGCAGGGTTTATGTGTGTGTAAGAAGATCACCTGTCCTTCTGTGGTGGCTCCGGTGTGCGGCTCAGATTACTCAACCTATAGTAACGAGTGTGAGCTGGAGAAAGCTCAGTGCAACCAGCAGCGTCGCATTAAAGTCATGAGTAAAGGAGCCTGTGGTAAGCGTGGGTGGTCAACATCTCATCCATCCCTCCTCTTGATCTCTTAAGGCTGCTGCGGCAGCGGCTTCTCTTTCTATTTCCTCCTCCTCCTCCTCCTCCGGATGAATTCATCGTCTTTAACAGAAAAAAATTGAAAATGAACAAGCAAGAGAGGGAAAAGGGGGGGGGGATAAGCGATGCAGAGATTTAGTATCGGTAAGTGGACAAAGCATTGGCCAAGATTGTGCAGTTAGAACTCAGTGTATCCCGGATGGAAAACTAACCCTAACAAAACCAGAAGCGCATCAAGTTATTTTCACCGGGGTCTTAGGAGTAGTTTTGAACCTCTGAGCTGAGAGCGCTCAGAGTCAAAAGAACATTTTTTTTTTGTTGGTGGATGCCCTCAAAGAACGAAAGAAAGAAAGAAAGAAAAAGAAAGAAAGAAAGAAAGAAAGAAGAAGGAAGGAAGGAAGGAAGGAAGAAGGAAGGAAGGAAGGAAGGAAGGAAGGAAAGAGAAAAAGAAGGAAGGAAGGAAAGAAAGAAAGCAGGAAAGAAAGAAAGAAAGAAAGAGAAAGAAAGGAAGAAGGAAGGAAGGAAGGAAGGAAGGAAAGAAAGCAGGAAGGAAAGAAAAAGAAAGAAAGAGAAAGAAAGAAAAAGAAAAAGAAAGAAAGAAAGAAAGAAAGAAAGAAAGAAAGAAAGAAAGAAAGAAAGAAAGAATTATAACTGAACATTTAAGTTTCCAACTTCCCCTTTGTGGTACTCCGAATATAGTGTATAACCTCAGCCCTTCTTAGTGAGAAATAGGCTGGTTGACTTCATCACCTCTGCGACGCATCCTCACAAGATGCAGGCTGTGATTTTTCCGAAGAAGGCCTCCTCGTAAACGAGGCTAATGAACCCTCCATGGTAGCAAGGCACAGACCACCCGAAAGCAAGGAACTGTGGAAATGAAACCGCCCCTGTCTGCTTTTTTCCAAGTAAATTAACTTGACCTTTCCCCCCCCCCTCCTCTCTCTCTGATGGAGAACTTCTTGCTTTTAGCGATAAATCTCCGGCTTTCTGGACTCCTGCAGAGAGCTCAGTAGAGGAGCAGAGAAAGGAGAGAGAGAGAGAGAGGAAGAAAGAGAGAGAGAGGAAGGGAGGGGAGAGAGAGAGAGAGAAAGAGAGAGAGAGAGAGAGGGAGGGAGGGAGGGAGGGAGAGAGAGAGAGAAAGAGGAAGGGAGAGAGAGGGAGGGAGGGAGGGAGAGAGAGAGAGAGAGGAAGGGAGGGAGAGAGAGAGAGAGAGAGAGAGAGACGGATGTGTCATCCTGATTTATTTAAAATAATAACAATGGGTTATGGGTGTGTGTGTGGGGGGAAACGTCCAAGGAAGGAGGGGGTAATTAAATAAATAAAGGGCATTATAAATAAGATACTATCCCCATCTTACAGCAGCCGGCAGCCGGCCTTTTTAATGTCTGTCTCTAATTACATTTCGCTTATGGCACATTAAGGCCATCTCCTTGTTGCCATTCCAATCTCATTCACCCTTTGCTTGGTGAACTGAGTGGATAAAGCAACGCCCGGAGTTTCTGTGGAAAGGAAACTAATAATATTGAGCTTCCGGCCACAGACAGACAGCGGGGGGGGGGGGGAGGCCGTGCTTAAAAAAGAGTTGGGGGCTTTTCACCCTGGCAAATATTTGTAGCCCGGGGTTGAACTACTTAGCCTTCGGTGGTCTCTGAGCTTGGTGGGGTTGCTTGTAGACCCCAACGAGGGTCATCAATGCTACAAGGGATCAAAGTTTGCAGAGTGGAGGAGGAGGAGGAGGAGGAGGACTGGGGTGCTCCATGCGCTCTGTTGTTTTATGGCAGACATTTCATTACCCAGCAAGGTAACGCCATCAGTGCCAAAAGGGAGTGGGGTGGGGTGGTCTCTGTTTATATACAAGTGGCTTACCCTATCAGTGTTAATGGGAGGGTAAGCCTCTTGCCACTTGCTTACAGGGCAAACCAACCAACTTGGCATTCACATTTATTTACATATAAATAGAGAGCGAGCCCCTCTACCTTCTAGCCCTGATGCTGCTGCCTAGTTTGGTAGTGAAACGTCTGCAAGAAAACGACCAAGCTTAGACAGCGCTAAGGACCCCACAAACAGGAAAATGCTGTCTGTGGAGATGAATTGTCGGGCTGAGCATGTTCCCAGCGATGCCGTCATTTCTGACTCTGAAACTGGTGTAGCCAAGATGGGGTGTAGCATCCCATCTAATCCCCCTTTTCTTGGACCCCTTTGCACGCGTCCTGCCATTCCCAACCACGATCTGGAAGCTGCTTTTGCCTGCCTTTTGATCCCAAGGTTGCCTCTTCTGCCCCTCTTGTCAGGTTCCAAAGACCCCTGCGCAGAGGTGGCCTGCAGCTTCGGAAGCACCTGCGTTCGGTCCACGGACGGGCAGTCGGCCAAGTGCATCTGCATGTCCTTTTGTGGCGGCGTTCCTGAAAACACCGTGTGCGGCAGCGACGGCAAGGACTACCGCAGCGAGTGCCACCTGAACCGGCACGCCTGCGACAAGCAGGAGAACATCTTCAAGAAGTTGGATGGGCCGTGCGGTAAGTCCCACCCTGGGGTCTTGGCGGTCCCTGATTTGGGGGTTTTTTTCCTGTAGATGTTTCGGCACCTGTCCAGGTAACCTCACCAGTATATGGGGCAGTGTTGAGTGCATTCAAGGCACAACGGAGCTGTTAGGGATCGTCCCCGCATTTCTCATTGCCCCGGGCGCCGTAAAATCAGATTTTCTATGTCCCGCTTTCTGCAAAGTCACCGAAGGTCCCAAGAGTGTGGTGAACTCACAAATGAGATTTTGTGAAACGGCTGCATTCTTCCCCAGAGCGAACAATGAAAACTTCAGAGATTGGGGCTTAAAAAAAAAAGTATGTAATTGGGGCTTCCATAAATCCCAGCTGGAAGTGTTGTGGGTCTTTGGCACCCACAGGCATTGTGTTGTCACCCTCTTGACAGTTTTAGGTGTTGGAGGAAAAAGTGTACCTATATATAGTTTTGTTGATTTATGGGGGAGGGGAAAGCCTCTATATATATTTGTGGGGATTTCCTTCCTTTTTTCCTTCCTTCCTTCCTTCCTTCCTTCCTTCCTTCCTTCCTTCCTTCCTTCCCTCCCTCCTTCCTTC